TACATCTGGCTTATTATTTTGGATGCAGTAATGGCCCTTGCTCTAGTGAGTTTCCCAAGAAGCTCCAGAGAGTGTAAAGTGATCTGAACATTCTTACGAATAAATGTGCAGGCCCTTTATCCTGTAAGGCTCCGTCTCCTTGACAGTTCTCTGGGAACAGGAAATGCCAGAGGGCTCCACAGACAGCCCTGGATGTACTGCTGGGACAACAGCTGGTCGCTGTCCCAAAGGAATTAGGGGGACACCAACATTCTTCCACAGCTTCTGGACTTTCTGTCCCTCGTGCACTTGGCCCGGGACTTGGAAACATAGTCTCTCCAAGTCTTCCTATAACTGCATTTTAAATTAAATTCTGTGGTCCATAATAAATAATTTACATATAGGCTAGTTGGCTGATGCACTACAGGATATGAGGGGGAAAGCAGAATGCAGCAACCTGGATTTAACCACACCAATCAATGCATTCAGGAACTCCTAGGGGCCCACTGAAGGGAAGAGTCATCTTTATACCGCTCTCCTGGCCTCCTGAATCAGGGGCACTAGAGGATGGCTGTAAATGACAGCAGCTTCAGCTAATGCTACAGGACACAGAGAACATGACTTTATTTTTCCTAATTGTAGGAAATAATGAGGTCTCTTTTCCCTCCTATTCATATTTTCTAGCGAAAGTTTCTGCTAATGTAAAACATTTGGTGGGAAAATAATATTGGGACGTTGTTCTTAAGAAAAAAAAAATCGACTTGGTTTGAATTGAATTCTAATATATGAAAAAGAACATGAGCCTAGCTTGCATGATGGAACAAATGACAAAATGAGTTAATTAGCATCGTGTCTGAGGATGGATCTACTTGTCATAGGGACAGGAGCTATTATTTCACACACACAATGACCCAGATAGAAAGTCACAATAGAAAGCGGCAGGAGCCAGAGCCTCATCTCGCCGTTCTCATCTCGGCCTACCTACGAGGCAATTAACGGGCATCACCACTGCACATGTGAAAATAGGGATCAAGGTGTCTATTAAATATTTACGATGAAGAAAACACAACTGGTTTTCAGTCCAGTCCTTCCGAGGAAGCAGCTATGGTATTCTGCCTATGTGGAAATTACAAAAGTTGACCAGTGCCACTGTCTGCCATTTGGATTGCTCTGCTCTGTTAGAAACCATGTCCAGCGATGGAAAGCAGAGGAGGGACAGGGTCCCTCACGATATTTTGTCCTCCTTCTGGTTGTCATGGCCACTGGTCTAGAAACTGAAGCCACAGCAACAGCCAGAAATGCTGATTCCTGAGTCCAGCCTGGGTTCCCTGCCAGTGAGGAAAGGATGAAGGTGGGGATGATCTGCACACAGTGGCTTCCCCAGGGAACAGCAATCACCATGCTGTGAGCTCCATGCTCTAAGTGTCTTCATGGTTAGAGCTGAGTGATTCTGGAATTCACACCTGGAGACACATTCCAGGGCAGAAATCTCAGTACCCAACCCCCACCCAACTTCATATCCTTTTTTGTTTGTTTTGTTTTGTCCAATTAGTGCTGTTCATGTATGCATGGGCTTGGGGCCATCCACTGGAGCATGGTCAAGCTACTAGGAATCACACCTCTAAAGAAATCAGACTCTCTCCCCCCCAGCAGCTGTCAACTGTAAGGAAGGCTTAGAGTTCTTATTAAACATGTAGAATGAGCAGGTGCCGATCATAACCAATTATTGAACAAATCCTCAGACACTGGTATCTACACACTCATACATACAATGCGTGGAAAAAAGAATGCTAGAGTAAGTAGAAAAATGAAAAAGTAAATAAAACCTGTCTAATGCCCTCCAGGGCTTAGACCCCATACAGTCGTCCATCCCCACTTCAGCACTACAGAAGCACAGCAGCCGAGCAGCCACAAAATGGGGTGCTGCCTCCTCAACACTGGATTCAACGGTCTATCACAAAATGATCCTGGTTTCATTAGGATCAAGGCACTGTATCACATGTTAAAAGGAGCACACTACAGAGAGCAGATGGAGGCCCTCTCCTGCATCTTCTCTACACACCCCTCAGCTATCCTGAGCATCTGAGTACAGTCAGTTTCCCCACATTTCAGGTCATTGAGAGAATTCAGCCTCTAGGAGTCCCTATCCAATCTGATTGAAGTATCTGCAAAGAAGATAGCCCTACTTAAACAGACATCTTTGAAATTTAGCAAATCACTTGTGCTCTTACACTAATACATATGTATAAACATAAACAATCCCACCCATTTCTAAATAATCACCTAAATTCTATCAGAGTAGAAAAAGCCTTCACCATCCTGGTCTAGGGCCTTGGTTCCTTCCATGTGAGTGGTCACTCCCAGAGCTTTAGACCCTGGATGCTCACAAACACGGAAGGGAAGGAGCCATCTATCTCATCACTCCGCAGTTCTGCAAAACGCCTCACACTGTTTCCTGTTGCTTTCACTGCTGAGAGCTGGCTCTCTGGCTGTTTCTCTGCCCCTTCCTAACTCTCCCTCCCTTCACAGTGGCCTCTATGATGTTTTGGTCCCATTTGTCTCCTGCCTCCATCCTTCAACTCAGGCCTCGCACACGCTAGTCCCTGTTTGGAGACTCCCTGACCTGTTCCAGTCCCACCTGTTACATCATCACTGACTCCACATCCCCCCATCTCAGTCTCAGCACCTTCCCTGTCATTGGACCACACATACAGCCTCTGCACCTGTGTTTCAGTCCAGTTGCTTCTCATCCAGTGACGCTCCTCTGCAGGGCTTGCTTACCCATCATAACCACAATGAGGTTGTTCTCTGCATTCCAGCACGTAGCTCTATTCCTGGCCAAAGCTGACAAAGAACAGGACTTACTAGCAAAGGGCCAGGAAGATGGCTCAGTGGTGAAGGCACTTGCTGCCAGACCTGATGACCTGAGTGAGTTTCATTCCAGGGAACCACATGGTAAAACAGAATCAACTACTAAAAGTTGTCCTCTGACCTCCACGTGTGCGTCATGGCATACTCACACATGCATGCACACACAATAAGTAAACAAATGCAATTTTTTTTTTTTTTTTTGGTTTTTGAGACAGGGCCTCCCTGTAGCCCCAGCTGGCCTGGAACTCACTATGTATGTAGACCAGGCTGGCTTTGAACTCACAGAGATCTTTCTGCCTCTGCCTCTGCCTCTCAAGTGCTGGATTAAAGGTGTGCACCACCACACCTGGCTTTATAAATAAATATAATTAAAAAAAAGATTTATCTGGGCTGGAGAGATGGCTCCGAAGTTAAGAGCACTTGCTGTTCTTAAAGAAGACCTGGGTTCCCAGCACCCATGTCAGGTGGTTCACAACTGCCAGAAACTCCAGCTCCAGGGGATCCACCACCCTCTTCTGGACTCCAGGGGCACATGCACTCACATGTACATATCCACACACAGATATACATATAATTTAAAAATAAATCTTAAAAAAAAGTCATTAGCAAAACCACTGGCAGTTTGCACCCAAACAAACCACAACCACCTGTAGAGGGTGGGTAACAGTCAGTTACAGCTGTGATCCTCACAGGTCACTCAGTGATGAGCTGCTGGCTGCTGTGTTCCAGATGATAAAGGAGCTGAAAAGTTCCTGTCACCCAGTGATGTCACAACTGTGAGTGTCATATGCAATGCATCCATCATTCATGGGTCTGTAGCAGTACTGGTAAAGCAAACCTACTCTGTGTCAATCATACAGAAATACAGCCCATAATAATATTTGATAATAAAGATCTGTTTCTGGTTTATATATTTACTATACTATACATTTTATCTTTACAATGTATCCTATCTTTGTGTGTATCTGTGTATGTCTGTGTCTGTCTGTTTGTGTGTGTATACATACAACATATATATGAAGTTTACTATAAAACACATGTTGGCTGGGGCTGTAGCTCAGTTTGGTAGAGTGCCTACCATGCACAAGGTCTTCCTCAGCACCACATAAACAAGACACTGTAGCACAAGCCTGTAATCCCAGTACAGGCAGGAGGATCAGAAATCCAAGACCATTCTTAGCTACATAGTGACTTTGAGTCCAGCCTGGGCTATGTGATACTCTATCTCAAAAAAAACCCAAACAACCAAACAAAAAAAATGGATGGTGTACCAGGTCTGCCGCAGTGCACCAAGAGGTCATCTTGAGTGACAGCTGTGGCATGTGGGTGGGTGTCAGCACTTTCTGAAGTTGCTTAGAACACATCCAATCACTCAGTGACTCATAGTAGTACTTTGGAAGGTTACACATAGGAGAATAAGACTCACATGAAGAGGGGCTGGAGAGATGGCTCAGCAGTTAAGAACAACAACTGTTCTTGCAGAAGACCTGGGTTTGAATCCCAGCACCCACAGGGCAGCTAACAACTGTCCTAACTCCAGTTCCAGGGGATCTGACAGCCTCTTCTGTCCTCTGTAGGCACTGCATGACACGGGTGCACTTACCTACATGCAGGCAATACACGCATACACATTAAAAAAAAAAAGACACACATGAAGACAAACTCAGCCCTAGTTTGGAGCAAAGAAATTCCTTCTGCTATAAATGTCATACTGGAACTCAAGTGGACCCTGAAATTGGTTAAGACACCACATACGACATGAAGACAAGTTCAAAACTAGGAGTTTCTGGGCAGATCTGGGCAGATAGGAATTCCTTGAAGGCAGGCCATGCTCCCTGGTACAATGGCATGCTGGTAGCCCCAGGACTCTGGCCTACTCCCACGTTAGCAAAGAAAGGGGACATGTGGTAACAAAGAACCGAGGACCAGGGAGAGGTGAGGTTTGGGGATCAGACCTCTTTGACAGCTTAATGAATCTAGTAATGGGCATGCAGGGATGCCATTCCAGCCCTACAAGACAGGACATGCCTGCCACTTGTTCCAGAGTCATCTAGAGTTGCTCCCTTGGGTGTGGCTGACCTCCCCTCCATCCCCCCACCAGCTCATCTACTGAGGTGCACACTCTGTAAGCTTGTCCATCTGGGTCTCACCTTCTTAGTGAACTCTGGGATGAGTTTTTGGTCTGCCAGGTGTTCTAAGGAGGAGCAACAATCCAATTCCAAGATGTAGCCTTCATTGTGAAGCTCCATCTTCTGAGATCTGGAAAAAAAAAAAAAAGAATGAAACTTGCATAATATTAAAGAAAGAATCACAAGATACTGAATGAAGCCCCCCAGATATTTCCTGAATGTAGTTGACAAAAACAAACTGCTGGGGCTGGAAACATGGCTCAACAGTTAAGAGCACTGGCTGCTCTTCCAGAGGACCACGGTTTGGTTCCCATATGGTGGCTGGTGGCTAACAAGGTTTGTAAGTCCAGTTCCAGGGGATCCATACTGTCTTCTGGCCTCCATGGGCATTGCATGCTCAGGTGCACCTAAATACATGCAGGCAAAACACTCATACACATAACAAAAACCCAGCACAGAACTGGGAAAATGAACAGCAGATCCCAATCTTATCTGAAGAAATATTGACAACTGATTGCTGCTAGATGAGTGTGGTGGTTTGAACGAAAATGTCCCCCATAGGCTCCAAGTATTTGGACATTCTGTCCCCAGATGATGTTCCTGTTGTGTGATGTTTTAGAAGTCATTGCTATCCTGGAGGAAGCACGTCACTGGGGGTGGGCTGAGAGAGTTCTTAAGCCTTGCAGGATCTCCAGTGGCCCTCTTGCTTCCTGTGCCTGCATGATGATGTGAGAGCTTAGCTTCTGCTGCTCCTGCTCCAGCCACCTCCCACCACCATGCCTCCCTGCCATGATGGATTGTAATTCCCCTGGAACCGTAAGCTCAAATAAACTCTTCCTTCTATAAATTGCTTGGGTCAGTGTTTCTATCACAGCAACAGAAAAGTGACTAATACAATGAGGAAGAACTGATCTCCCTAAAACAAGGAACTCTAGATAGGCTGACTAGACCTCAGTGACTAGACTTGCACTGGGGAATGGCTGGGGATACTGAGGACACAGTGGGCCTTAACAAGGATGACAAAGTATATATGGGCTTCAGTGGGGTGGGGCTATGGGAGGGTGCCAGTGGGGATGGGGGTATAAAGGTGATTAAGATTGCTTGAGATGCTCTGCATGAAACACAAAAAAATTCAAAAGCAAATTCAAAATAATTAAAAAACAGCACTACAGAAAAATAGCTTGATAAATAGTTGAAAAATATGTATATATATATATATATTTCTGTGCCACTGAACGACTTCCTAAAAGACTGGGTGTGGCAGCATATACCTGTAGTCCTGGCATTTGGGAGACTGAGGCAGGAGGATTGAGTGTTTGAGGCCAGGTTGCGTGCATGGCAAGTTCCAAGCCAGGCCAGCCTCAGATCTTAAAGGGGATACAGGGAGAGAAAGTAGGACAGAGAAGGAAAGAGAGAGAGGAAAGAGAGAGAAGGAAAGGAAGGAAGGAGGGGGGTCAGCTTAGAGCTGAACTCTATGTAAGACACATCTCTATAGAATATTGTGTATAGAAAGTATGGCTTATATAGTAGATGATACATAGATGTTGAGAGAGGGCAAGAGAGACAGAGAGGCAGAAAGAGACAGAGACACAGAGAGAGAGAGACACAGAGAGAATAGTAATCTACTAGCCCAAAGGGAAAGAACTTAGAAAATTAATTTTTAATAATCCTTAAAGGCTTCAACCCCTACAGAGTGAAATCTGGAAAAATCTACCAAAAGATGCATCAAAGACAGACTGTGAGGGGCTCAGTGGGTGAAAGCACTTGCTGCCAGGCCTGATGATCTGAGGTCTGTCCCTGGGTCTCTCACAGCAGAAGGAGAGAACCAGCTCCTGCAAGTTGTCCTCTAACCTCCACATATGTGCATACACACACACATGCACACACACACACACACACACATACACACACACACACTATAAATAAATGTAGGACTGGAGAGATGGTTTAGTGGTTAAAAGCACTTGCTGCTCTTGTAGAGGACCCAGGTTCAGTCCCCATCTACCAACATAGTAGCTTACAACAACTGTAACTCCAGTTCCAGGGGATCCAATACCCTCTTCTGGTCTCTGTGGGCATTTGCATGCACAGGATACACCTCTCTCTCTCTCTCTCTCTCTCTCTCTCTCTCTCTCTCTCTCTCACACACACACACACACACACACACACACACACACACACACAATAAAATAGCAACATACTCTGTTCCAAAGACCAAAAATGTCAAAAGTATTTGGGAGCTTGTATCTAATCCTTAAAAGATTTTAGGGTTACCTCTTCAGAGGGGAGAATGGAGGGGAGGGAGTGGGCATGGATTTGATCAGAACACATTATAATGCATGTATGAAATTCTCAATAACGTTTTTGTAAAAATTTTTTTAAATCTTTTAAGAATGTAATAAAAAATTAAAAGATCATGAGGCAACTACAAGCAAAAATTCTGGGAAAGCGGAGTGTAATGAAGGGTAGTTAGGGTGGTTAGAGATACAAGCCTTGGGACTTGGGATGACTACAGAGACTTACCAGAGTGCCTGGTTTACCCCACCCTTACATGGCTAGGCTGACTGCTCCCCATGAGACCCTCTCAGACACAGCATATAGCTGGGCCATCAGGAGAAGCATGAGCAAATAACCATGGGTGGCGGGGGACGGGCTCCACTCATCCAGTCACCTCTCTGTAGGCTTCCATGTGCACTAACATGGGCCCGAGGAACCTCTGGAAGCTGTGTGGTGACAGAAATTGAAGGAGAGTCTCAGCACGCCTAAAGCAACACAAGGTGTAACCAAGAATCAACAAAACATGCTCTCCATCTTGGGTGGCTGGCTGTGGGTCTCCCACCACATCCCCTGCACCAGCTGAAGAGTAAGCTGGCCTCCTGAACTAGAAGGAAGCTGCTCCAGCAGAGGCTTGGCTAGAAAATTCCTAAGGTTAATCTTTCAAAATCTCTCTCTCTCTCTCTCTCTCTCTCTCTCTCTCTCTCTCTCTCCAGTATATGTGAATGCATATTTGTTATGATAGTTTAAAAATGAATTTCCAAGGCTCTTGTGTAGCGTGAAAAGCAATTTATGTTTCCATTAACCATCTGGGTGTGATTTACATGAAATTTAAGAGAAAAAAAAATAAAGAGGATTTGGTTTTCTCCAGGTGTGTGACTGTGGTTCAGTAAGCAAACTTCAATAGTTTTTTTTTTTTTTTTTTTTAAAGTTTTAGTGTTCCCTCTAACATATCCTTTCTGGGCTAGCATAATGAGTCGCATACATTTGAAATGTAAAAAACGTAAAAGAACAAACTGATTTCAAACTAGTCAACCTGCAATAAACCAATTCTAACAGAATAAAGCAGCTTGGAACCCTAGCCTTCCTGCCTTAGTGCCTGACCAGAGATTAGACCTGGGTTCTCCCCTTATAAGAAGACAGACAGAAGATTGCAGATTTTTCAAAATTATTTTTATTGTATGTGTGTATGGCCTGCATGTATGTAAGTGCACCTGTATCATGCAATGCCCACAGAGGACAGAAGAAGCCATCGAATCCCCTGGAACTGGAGTTATGGACAGTTGTTAGCTGCCATGTGGGTGCCGGGATTCAAACCCGGGTCTTCTGCAAGAACAGTCGATGTTCTTAACCACTGAGCCATCTTTCCAGCCCAGATTCCAGATTTTAAAAACATTTTTATTTTATGTGTTTGTTTTATGTGTTTGTTTTATGTGTATTGCCTGCATGTGTGCAATGCTCGGGGAGGTCAGAAGAGGGAGTTGGATCTCCTGGAACTGGAGTTAAAAATGGTTGTTAGGCACCATGTGTATGCTGAGAACTAAACCCTGGTCCTCTGCAAGAACAGCCAGTGCTCTTAACTGCTGAGTCGTTTCTCCAGTCCCAGATTCCAGATTTTTGAAAGAGAAGATTTGAGCAAGACATACTGTCACATGTATTATGTGGCATCTCAAGAACCAGAGACTGGGATGAGGAAGAGGAGCTCTAAAACACAAAATGCCAGTTCTTGGGACCTGGGGAGATAGCTCAGTCCTTAAAAAGCTTAAGCATAAAGGCAGGACTTGAATTCGATCCCCAGAACCCATGTAAAAAGCCAAGCCTGGTGGCATATGCTTATAATCCCAGCACTGGGGAGGCAGAGACAGATGGATCCCTGGAGACTTCTAGTCAGCCAGCCAGCCTACCCTAACTGGAGAATCCCAGGTCCCAGTGAGACTCCCTATCATAAGAAACAAGGTAGACAAGTCTTTGAACAACACCCAACATTGACCTGTCTTCCACATGCATGTGCACATATGTACACACACACACACACACACACACATCCCAGTCTTCTGTCAAAGAGAGACTAATGCCAGGCTATATAAAGTTATTTAAAATAGCTATTGAGATTTTCAAATGATTTGATTAAAAAATTGTAATCATTGAAACGAGTCAACATTATACCCACTCATTAAAACAGTCATAAAATAACTAGGGAGAAGATGGGCCTGACTGTAAACATCCTACTGCCCAGTTTCACAAAGAATAATCTTCAGCACAGGAGCTATTAACTACCATGTTTGGTTCTGGAACAAGAAGTTCTGTAACAAGAAAGGCAGCCCTGGTTCACTTCACCCAATAATTAACTCACTTATATCTGAACTGAATGAGCTCAAAGGGTCAACAGGAGCAGGCATTATGAGTTTTCTAGATGAACCATGAAAAAAAATGACCTCTTGGCCTATAGTTTCTTGGAAAATCCAATGCAACGCACATTGGAGGAACACATGAGCAAGTCATCAGCCTGCCCTCACTGTTAGGAATTAGCTCCATAGCTGGAAATGAAAGAGTTATGACTGAAGAATGGTGGCAAGGGAGAGGAGGTGGCCCTTTGACGCCAAGCACCAGCTGCCCTAGCCTTGACATTAGCACGTTGTGAGGTCATAGCTGTGGCCTGGTAGAGGCAAGAGCTGGGTGGAGGCCACCCTCCCTGCCACCAACCCTACGTAGGGGACCACCAGCAAAGCCTGCCTGTGGGGCTACATGACAGTTTCAGGGCTCCTGGGGGGGGGGTAAACATGTGCATTCACTACCTTTGGGTTGGGGGGGCAAGACCTGAGACTCACTTGTACTCAGTGGGCTACTAGACTCTAA